GCGGTATTCTTTCTACGTGACCAATATGTCAAGTGTCACTTTCATCTCTCTGTCACCTTGGGTATTCCGGCTTGAGAATGAGCTCACTGAAGGCGCAGCTGGGACAGACTTCCGCCTTGACTTGTTAGTCAATGGAGAAAACTCAATTCGCGAAAGACATTACAATCGAATGCTCAACAGCAATACAAATCCACTGGCTGCCACGATTCTTATTCGAGATCCCGACTTAGGTTATGTCCTTCTTACTGCGGACCGAAATGGCCCACACGCGATATCGTTCGAATCGCCAGAAACAGACGACTATGATCTAGAAGAAGGACCAAGATCGCCAACTTTCGAAGAGGATGCTACCAAACCTGTAAACTTGTTTGCACCCCGAGAAACCTATCAGCCATCTACTACCATGAACGCCAACTCTGATCTACCAAGACTGCTCAGAGACTTGAAACACGGAAAATACAAGCACACTCTCAATGCACCAGTACGGTTATCTCCAGTCACTTTGATCACTTTAGCCGAAGCACACAAGGTTCTTGGCAACGAAACCAACGCCCTCGGAGAAGAAGCAGCTCGCTTGTTTCGAAACTGCGAGCGATTACAAATCGAGTTGCAAGGTCAGATTGCCAAAGCACTCGGTGCTTCGCAACGGATTGACGCTATCACTGTTGGGAACAGCAACGATGGTCCTGTTGTTAGTATGCCCCAAAAGGTAGACGATCGAATTCAAGCCGCCCATGTACGCCAGAAGGAACTTGAGAAACGCTTCGACCGAGTAAAGAAAAATCTCTCGCGCGGTGCCGCAGACCGAGAACTAACCGCCGCGGAGCTTGCATGGAATGAAGAAATCGACATCCTCCGCGTCAAAGTCCTCGGCGAGGGGAAACACGACGAACTCTTCGGCGATCGAGAGAAGGAGCCTTGGGCGCGGTATAAGCAGGTTGAGGAGGTCAAGGATGAACTCCTTGAGCAGGTCCAGGATGCTGTTGAGAATGAGGAACGGGTGATCAGGCCGAAGAGTGTGAAGGTTCCGTCTGAGGTTAGGAGGGTGAAGGTCGCCCAGATTGAGACGTTATTAGCCAGGGAGACGGCGTTGGTGGAGGCGGCGAGGAGTCGTTTGAGTCTGAGTCTGGAGAGGTTGAGCTTAGCATAGGGTAGGGGAATTAATATGTAATGATATGTGGCTTTATCATGAAAGTCGTCTTCACGATTGCCTAATATGCCCTTGTGATTGCAAGATCTTCGGCGTCAATTCTTCGATAAAAATCTACACCAAGACTCCAGCGCAACTTCAAGCGTCGCAAGGTAATCACGACAAAAATCTTGCCTTGTGGCTGGCTACCACTCTCGCCAAGATTCAACACATATCATCCCAACACTTATCGATCGTCATTATGGTTCTCAATTCCCCTCGAGACACTTCCGAGACCCAAATACAGTCGCGAGAACCACTACTCCGAAGTGCGCATCATTACGAGGGGTTCTTTTTTGATCTCCCTAATTTCATATCAAGCCTTTCCCGCCTCGAGTCTCTAGAACATGGCCTCGGCATTCACCGAGGTGGAAATGTATTCCTTCCTCTCCGTCTTCTGTATTTTCTTCGCCGGCCGAAAAGCACGCATGCATGCACAAAACAAGGCGGTAGCGGCAGGGTGTTGAGCTCTTAGGTCTAGTTCGATGGTATGAAAGGAGCTTGTAGGGAGTGATTGTATTTTCCCCACGGGGTGTAAGGTTGTGAGAAGGCAGGACGAGCATCATTTGGGTTGTTAGAGGGTGCTTTGTGTATGGTGATGTGTTTGGTCAGAGGAGATGGACCATGTTATGATGGTTGAAGCTATTGGGGGGTTGCAAAGAAAGCTCCATCGCTTTGGTTGTGGCATACGCAGATTTACTATAGCACTTAGATATAAGACAAATTATATTGGCCTCCCTTTCGATCGCTCTTATGTGGGACACTTGTTAATCAATTCTTGTACCTCGTCCCTAGTATAGGTTGAGTATCGTTTGAGTTTATTTGCAAACCCGATGAATGAAAATATAGAGAAACCCCAATCCTAATGAAGAAAGCATGAATAGTAATTTTTTGAATAGACGAGCCTATGCCTGCAACGAAAAGCGCAATTTGAAAGCTGCCAGCAAATAACAATCCTTTAGAGGAACATATCGTACTTAAATCACCTCTGCCGTTCTCTTCTTGAACTTCAGTTCTGCAAAGGGATTAGGATAAATCGCCGCCTGGCTCAAGATATCCGGTGGCCTCATGTCCTCCCCGCCTTTCCCATCAATATCGCCTTTACACCGCACATCATACTCCATCAAAAGCTCAATCAAAATGACCTTAAGCTCGTAACCCGCGAAATGCCGCCCTGGACAAGTATGGCTCCCATGACCGAAGGTGAGGGAGTTGGGCGCCGTGCTAGTGTATTGGTGTTTGTTCTCTTTACCAGGCATTTGACGAAGTTTGTAGAAACGATAACCGTCAAATTCGTTTGGAGGCTTGTAGGTTCTGGGAGGATTGTAGGCCGGGGAGAATGTTTGGGACGAGGGGAGATGGTGGATGGCCCAGGAGTTGACGGCGAATTTTGTGCCTGTAGGGATGGTGTGTCCTGTTGAGAGGTGGATAGGTTGCATGGCGACGCGGGCGCCGATGACTATTTTGACATTATTGAGTGGGTATGCAAAACAGACCGTCGAAAAACTCACAAAGACCAGAAGTAGACATTCTCTGTGATTCCCTGATAAAGCTATCGAGCTTCTTTAGCTTTGGAATGCTCAGCCTCTTCAGCCTCTTCGTTGCGTCAGTAACGCCATGACCATCTTGCTTGATGACTTCAGTGATTTCGTCGCGCAGCGGTTGGATGTATTCTGGTCTCGAGGCTAAGTCGAAAATAGCATGTGTAATAGCCATGCTAGTGGTGTGTATGGCAACCAATGATACTTCGAGTCTCAGGTCAATACCTTGCTTGAAGCTAAGAATGTCAGATACTTACAAGTCATCTGATTGAGTCCCATCACTGATGAATTTCTCCTCTCATTCTCCTTGGTATGCTTGAGAATCCATCCAATAAAGGAAAACCGCTCCTGTTCGAAGGGCACCAGCAATTTCCCATTCTGAATTTCTTCTAGCTTCTGTCTCAGGAATGGGGCAAGCAATTCACCTCCCCGGTCTTTATACCGTTTCACCCTCCTGATCTCTCCCAGGAAAGGTGCTACGAACGGCCGAAGAAAGATGTTCCACCCCCGCACAACGTCCGAGGCAGCTACTGCATACGTAGTGAAGTTGATAGTCGCTTGTAGCCATTCTTCCTCTCTGCTAAGAGGAAGACCAACAAAGACACGACTGCTCATTAAAGCTACGGTGCGTATCATAGCCCGATAAAGAGGTACTGGGGTCCATTCAGAACAAGGTCCAATCTCCTTTTCGAACCCATATTTTACCTCGTCTTGTAGGCAGCCTACAACACTGTCGATATTTTTTGTAAGATCTTCTTTGACTGCGGCAATAACCTCAGGTCTTTCCTGTCCTAGAGAAGTATGCCTATAATTGAAATCGGTCTTGACTACTTGCATGAAAGAAGCTATACTTTCTGGCAAATTTCGGACTTCATCAAATACACATTCTGGGAGAATCACAACGGGTGGGGAGCTTGGTAGAATGAAAGGCTCATTGGGATACTACATATAGATTAGCCAATGACCGAAAATTGGGTGTGTTGTGTAAGGTGACGGTAAGCTGATACCTTCAATGCCCCTTCAATTGAATCCTTCTTCATTTCATGATAATTAATACTCCCCACGATGGGAAACGGCAACTTTTTCGAGCCAGAGAAGACATGGCGAACGGCTATAATGGTTACAAGAACAACAGCAAAGCTCAGTGAGAGGAGACTTCACAGCGAATTCCTGGAAGAAGTGACCTTTATCATATGAAGATTCCATGGCGATCGTGTGGACTCGAAACGCATTTGGGTCTCAATAGGATGATCTTATCGATTTGTTCCAGTGACATTATTTAGGCAAACCTGAACAAAAGAGCGATGAATTGTGGGGGGAACGAGAAGATTACCTGATTAGCAAATGCTACAAAGAAGAACACGATTCGAAGAACGGAACGCCTTAGGGAACGAAGCAAGCTCCTCAGCCAGCTCATTCCATTCATATTACCTACTTTTGCCATGCATCTGAAGTTGCAACCACTCGAATGACAATATGAACATTGAATACATGGCAGACTCCGCGACCGCCTCATGCATCTAGGCACTTCCAAATTCCATTGGCAGAACAAGAAAAAAGCTTGTTGCTTCAAACAGGTCGAGTCTCTAACAGCTTTTTAGAGAGAGACAAAATTCTTGATGATGGGGAATCAGAGCTCAGTAGTTGCGGCTACAGTGAAAAGATATTCTAGATCACCTGTAAGCAGACAGCCAAAGACAGTTGACAACAGCAAGAATGCATCAATGTATGTGTTCTCCTTGAGAGCTCAACAATGAAGCTATTTCATCCATTGTTAATATGGACGTGTACTGTGTGAGCTGAGGTCTTGATAGATTAAGTTCAGTTGGGAGTTGAAGAAAACATGTTGACTTGAATTCGAAGAAGCTGGAGATGATCGAGGAAAGTGCACAAATGGTGAGTAAAGTTAGACCTAGCACCTTCGACCCGGCGTCAAACTTTTCCGGGCTATCGCTTATGCTTCAGGGGGTCTTTGAATTACTGCATAGTACATCATTGTCAGAGTATTCAATGCCAGGCAAAGGCAAAGATAAATTCAGTCATCAAAAAGTAGAGCCTTAAAAGAGGACGGACTTATGAAGTTGTTTGGCCAAGTGTGCATGTAATCTAAGCGAACTAAGCGCTTATCACACACACGAAAAAAATATATGACTCCTACGCCCGGCAATAGGCTGTACGAGGGAGTGTGCTGACTCATGTTTCTCCACCTTTTAGGGAAGCCTTCATATTGTTAAACAGGTGCTGTTCAACCCATCAAAGCAACCAATCAAGGTGGTGTGGTGTAATGGTAGCACGTCACGTTGTGGTCTTCCTTCCGGGACTATCATCGAAGCCCGTGATAATCGGGGTTCGATTCCCTGCACCGCCATGTTCTACACATGGATTTATCAGACTAGGTGGTTAGATTCCACTATACAAATTTTTTGGTGATTTTTTTAGGGTTGAGTTTGATTGTGGGCACTTGCGAATGGAAGAGATAAGCGAGAGAGCTTGTTAAACCTCGGTAGAACTGTCCTTCCTAATTGGGGGCAGGTTACAACAGGAGAAAGAAGGGTGCTGCTTTCAAGCACCATGCTTGATCGCTGAAAAGCATCTGAAGAGCCATTGTTATTAGTTCTCTGTAGGCGACTCTCAACCATTCAATAAAGCCTTGTCTTCTCCCATGTATATTTATTTCACATAAGTTTTCCATTGTGTTTGAACTCATCCTGGGTGTCCATGATCTCCTGGGGCTCAAGGGGAGTTCTACCTTTTCTCTTACACCTTTACAAACCAGGATCATAGTTATACCTTAAACTCTCTCGATGCTGCTTCAGTGTGTAGCAAAGGCCACAGTTCTCCTGGGAGGAGTTACTTACCAAATCTAGAATTGGGCATCGCCTCTGAAGTTGACCAATCATTGCTATACACCATGCTCGACTACTTTCGTTTACACTACGGAGTAGAGGAATTGCTCGTTACAATAATCAGCCACTGTAATTTTACTTCGGCACTTCAGGGTGCTTTGACCAAACGTATTGGGTCAACTCAGAAACAGTCATTGTCAAGTGAAACTTGCCGATAGCACAGCATCTTAATGGATCATGTTATTTTCCTTGGTTACGCACTTCGTGCAGGTACGGTACTAGAGTGGCAAGTCCATTAAATTCTTAATTTTACCAATATGGCTGAAAAATAGGTAGGTCTATGACAACTCAAGAAAGAAGCAGTCCCACGTTTTCAAGTATGATGGAAGAACTATCTCTAAAGGCCAGATGCGTTTATAAAAAGAAAAGAGCTCGGATCGATTGAAGTTGCAACATGCTCTTGAGACACGTCGTCGCTTCCAATTGCGGCAGCAGGTATTGTATTAATACATATCATTACTAGCGCTCAACTCAACCTTGGGACAAGGCACATTAGATCATGTCTTCCATTTCGAAAGCTCGATGCATTGCATGTCTTTCCCTACCTGCATCATTTGGGAATGCCCATCTAGACATCAAGTACGACTTAACATAATTCTACAACTCCATCAATCGTGAGCATCGCTCACCCGCTACAGAGATGGCTACCAGAGAATTCGGGCCAGAAGATGCAAAGGGTCTCGTTGAAAATATCCTCAAACTTGTAAGCCGCGTCCATCCTAGCTTCACGCAGCCCTGAAAACTGACTGACATCAAGAAAAATGACGAGCCACGGGCACGCGATCGTTGGGGTTCTCCACAGAACATGGCTCGCACCATCCTCATGACCGACACGACACTTCAATTCCTCTTCCACCCAAACGTCTTTTGTGACCCCAAAGCCGAAACTGTACGAATCTTGAACCTTCTAATAGACGCGACTAGCGTCATAGATAGAAAGGATGCCCTTAAGGAGTATTTCCCGATATACGTCTCCAAGAGCCGCAATATCAGAAAGGTCCACTCGCCACTGCCCGAGATTCCTGAAATATTGGAATTCTGGGAGGTTACCATGAGATATTACCGGAAGGTATACGGAATTCGAGAACCAAAAGAGACAAGTGGCTAGTCGGATAGAGAAGGCAAGCCAAAGACCTTGAAGTCCGTCGTACAGCTAGTCATCGCGGACGAGAGGCAAAAGAAAGCGGCTGCGGCTGCTGAAAAGAACAATCCACAAATCCTTACACCGAATCCACCCAAGCCCATCAAAAACCTTACCAGGGAGAAGTCTGACGGTTGTGACAAGTCGAAACAATCCCGAAAGGCTGTGACATGGGACTCGTTTGTCAACATGATGACGGCGGGATTTAAGCGGCTAGCAAAAAGAAGCAACAATCTCACTATTCCTATCAATATGGATGGAGGGCGCAGTGCCGATGCTTCAAGAATCGGCAGCATAGCTCGCACCAACTCGGATACCCAAAGGCTCGAAATCCAGCGGCGAATTGAGATTCAGCAGACGGTTGAGACCGACTCGAGCTACCGAGAGCCTCAGACCAAGACAACCGCTTATGGCTGTGGCTATTGAAACCAATCCAGCGGATTTGGATGGTGCGAGTGACGAGCCAGCTGTACCTTATATTGAGGACCAACTCGCACAACCCAACAAGATTAAAGCAAGCAATCTTTACTGGTCTTTGGGCGCATTGGTCTCCATTGACGATGGACTAGGAGGGACATCGTAAAACGAGGTCAAGTTGAGGATAGACGATTCACGTAGGCCCGAAGTCGATGAAGCAAAGAGGGCAAAATTATGATCGGATATGTATATACCAGGGTAAAACGGTGTTGTTGGTCTCTATTCCTGGGTTTTAGTGCTATTCCTATTGGAGTTCCAACGAATAAAGACATAAAATGATACTTGTCTTCTTGGCTGGTGACTCCCACCCTAGGGTTGCGAAAAAGGAGCAAAAACTCAATTTCCTCAGGCTTTGCAAAGATACTCTTCCGCCTGGGGTCGAACCAGGAACCTCTCGATTAACAGTCGAACGCGCTAGCCAATTGCGCCACGGAAGATGAAAGGTTGTTGGGCCAGCAAGCCTTAACAAAATGCATCACGCTTGACTGGAAATTTCTGTCGTAAGCGAAATGTTGTGACCGAATTTTAGCCGTTCTCAGGGGTATTTGCAAAGCTTAAGCTTAAGCTTGGAACAATACTGACTTGAGGACTTAGTATTCGAAGACATCACAACCTAGCTTGGAAGCATTGATTATCCTTAGGATTCAATACAACTGGGGGTTACGAATGCCGAGGACTTGGTCGTATATAGTACGAGGCTTGACCTTACTCTCAAGTGGTCCCTTCGTTAAGAAATTAAAGAGGCTTTCGGTAACGGTTACACATGAGAGAGCCCCTAGACACAGAATAACAACCCTATCTACAGAGGTAAGAGAACGATTCAACTTCTTTATAACGAGATGATGTCTCTGCTAATATTGCTTGAAGGGAATACCATATGGAGTTCTCAGAATTGAAGACACAGTTCTCTGAACCTTATTGTGTACGTTTGGTGATCTTGGTACTAAGACTCCATGACATTTCTGTAAAGGAAGAACGAAACAAACAGCGTATATTTAACGAATGCCACTTCTGAACCTCTTATTCTATTGTTATTAAACTTTATCTATTTCTTCAAACGACTGAGAAGAGAGCTTCAACATCACACATCACATCACCCCACTCCTGCTAATGACGAAAACCCCACCTTGTTCAAATCAGGCAGGACGAAACGCAGACGACGTGCTCTCCCATATCAGCCGCCTAACTATTCATGTCCTTTTGCCGTTACCCTGCCTCGAGTCCGCATATTTCTTTAGATCCATGGAGGGGCAAAAGTAATTGACCTTCTGGGTCCGGTTAGAGCTCCGTTGCATAGAGCTCTGAAGCTTCGAAATATGACGTGTGGAAAGCCGATCATGCCTGGAGGTACCTGGGCGTTGATGCTGAGGATGCCTATAAAAGCTTGTCCCCGGAGAATTGAGGTGATGTAATGCGCCATTCAATGAATGTTGTGGAGGAATTGGTGAATTCGAGGTGAGTTTGTCGTTTCTATGGTTACTGTACCCCGCTTGTGTATATTCCTTGCGTGACGGAGTAAGTCATTTCACGAGATGTACAGTACAGTAACCATCATACATACATGATGGATGGAGTTAATTGCTAATTGATCTCAGTCCTCGATAGACTTCAGGGCGACCAAGCCAGATAGCCATTAAAGCTTCAAGATGGTTTCTAAATCGGGGTTGTTTTTCGCTTTGGTCGCGCTCGTCAATGTCACCTTCGCCACAGAACAATTGCGAGCAATTGTATCGCGATCAAGGGTACGTAGGTCGACTCCCCAATCCATCGTTAATTTCTTTTCTGTATAAACTGACGACAATTCTCCAGAGAACGACAATCGATCCTCGCTCCCTCCTGAAACGGGACGATACCGACCCCGAAACCCTCTATCCCGCGTACAACCTCTCCGTCCCAATCGACCACTTCCACAATGACTCGAAATACGAACCACACAGCTCGGATAGCTTCAATCTGCGATACTGGTTCGATGCCACCTACTACAAACCCGGCGGACCAGTCATAGTCCTTCAATCTGGAGAGACTGATGGCACTGGCCGATTGAGGTTCTTACAAAAGGGAATATTGCATCAATTGGCAGTTGCTACAAATGGTGTCGGGGTTGTGCTCGAGCATAGATACTATGGAACGAGTATCCCGACCCCTGACTTCTCAACTGAGAACTTACGGTACTTGACTACGGATCAAGCGCTTGCGGACGAGGCATATTTTGCGCAGCATGTTGTGTTTAAGGGATTAGAACAGTATAATCTTACTGCACCAACAACGCCGTATATTGGATATGGAGGAAGTTACGCCGGAGCGTTTGTTGCTTTCTTGAGAAAGTTGTACCCAGATGTATTTTGGGGTGAGCCCCTTTTCTGCCATCCCAGGAAATCTTACTGACTTGAATCTAGGAACCATCTCTTCTAGTGGCGTCACAGAAGCCATCTGGGACTACTGGGCTTATTTCGAGCCAATTCGAGTCTATGGAGAGCCCACCTGCATCACATATGCGCAAAAGATCACCAACATGGTGGATAATATCTTGATGAAGGTTAATACTACTGATACAACGGCAGAATTGAAGGGTGCCTTTGGGTTGCCTAATGTCACATACGACGACGATTTTGCTGTTGTCCTATCAGCGGGCATTGGTTCATGGCAAGGCAGAAATTGGGATCCAGATCTCAACGATCCCACATTTGATGAATTCTGCTCCAACATCACCTCCACATTAGTAGAATACAGCTCGACGACAGGTTTGGTAGGAACAGCCCAAGACTTGCTAACCAAGGGTGGTTATGGTTCGGAGATCTCTACTCTTCAAACTCCTTTGCTGAACTGGATTGGTTGGCTGAAGAA